AATGAGATTGAATGTAATTTCCATCTGAATACAACGCAAGGTTTTGCATCTCTCTCTCTCTCTCTCTTTTAAGGGATGGAGACAAATCTGACATAAGAATTTGAAAATTCATTGGGACGCAAACAACAAGCAAGAATGGTAAAGGAGTTTTGATTAGAGAAAATTTATGGGGACTAACCCTGTAAGACAGGAAAATATTATAAAGCTGCACTAACTGAAACAGTATGGTCCTGGCAAAAGAAGAGACCAGGTAGCAAGGAACAGAAGAAGTAACCCAGTTAACAGTCTGAATTGTCTCCAAGAAAATGCTTTGTGAGAAAGACATTTTTTTAAAAAAAGGTCAATAAGGAACATTCTAAATCAACATTTTGATTCACTCCATTTCAGTTTCCTGCTAAAACCCTGAAAATAATACAATGAGGTGAAACTGTAGAACAATATTGGACATTGCCTGAAACTTTTAGGGGTTATGGTAGAAAATAGCATAGACAATAGCTCAGTGTAGCAGAGTGCTGTCACCTGAGAGAATTGAAGACCTACCCCATGTGTATCACAAAAGATCAACCTCAAAAACCTCATGGGGGGTGGGGGAGGAGAGCGGTGCGTGACCAAGTGGTTAAGATGCACGTGTCCCACATGGAAGCATCTGGATTCAACACTCACCTCCTGACTCCAGCATTCTTGTTTAATGCAGATTCTGGGAAGCATAAGTGATGGGCCATGCAGTTGGGTTCCTGGCCCCACATGGGAGACCTGGCTTTGGTCCAAGTGGTCATTATAGACATTTTGGGGAGTGAATCAGAGAATATTATTCCCCCTCTCCCCTCTCACAATCTCCCCTCTCCCTCTCCTTTGGAATGATATCATAGTATGATTCTACTCAATTAAAATTATTTATTTATTTGAAAGTCAGAGAAAGAGAGAGAGAGACAGAGACATAGAGAGAGAGAATCTTCCATTTGCTGGTTCACTCCTTATATGCCCACAACTTCTAGTACTGCGCCAGGCTGAAGACAGGAGCCAGGAGCCAGAAGCTTCTTCCAGGTTTTCCATGGGGGTAGCAGGGGCGCAAACACTTGGACCATCTTCTGCTGCTCTTCCCAGGCCATTAGCAAGGAGCTGCATTAGAAGTTGAACAACCGGGACATGAACCGGCACCCACATGGAATGCCAGCATCATAGATGGTGGCTTTATCTGCTATGCCACAGTGCCAGCCCTGTGGCAAGATTTTTTTTTTTATTTGACAGGTAGAGTTATAGACAGTGAGAGAGAGAGACAGAGAGAAAGGTCTTCCCTCCGTTGGTTCACTTCCCAAATGGCTGCCATGGCCGGAGCTGTGCAGATCCGAAGCCAGGAGCCAGGTGCCTCCTCCTGGTCTCCCATGTGGATGCAGGGGCCCAAGCACTTGGACCATTCTCCAGTGCCCTCCCGGGCCACAGCAGAGAGCGGGCCTGGAAGAGGAGCAACCAGGACTAGAAGCCGGCGCCCACATGGGATGCCGGTACCGCAGGTGAAGGATTAATCAAGTGAGCCACGGCGCTGGCCCCGTGGCAAGATTTTTCAAAACCGGAAAGCACAATTCTATTGTCATGGACAGATGCCTTCCCTGTGGCTTGTTTATTTTCTAGATGGCTTTCTCTCTCATTTATTAAAACCGCAGTCTTTAATTTTATGAAGTAATAATTAGCAGAATATGTTTCTCTTGCTGAATGTAATTTTGTAAAACTTCATACTGATCCCTGTATAGCCCCAGTCAAAGCTATGGGCCGGTGCCACGGCTCACTTGGCTAATCCTCCACCTGCGGCACCAGCACCCCAGGTTCTAGCCCCGGTTGGGGAGCCAGATTCTATTCCGGTTGCTCCTCTTCCAGTCCAGTTCTCTGCTGTGGCCCGGGAGGGCAGTGGAGGAAGGCCCAAGTGCTTGGGCCCTGCGCCCACATGGGAGACCAGGGGGAGGCGCCTGGCTCCTGGCTTTGGATCTGTGCAGCGCAGGCCGCTGCGCTGGCCATAGTGGCCATTTGAGGGGTGAACCAACGGAGGGAGGACCTTTCTCTCTGTCTCTCTTTCTCTAACTCTGCCTGTCAAAAAATAAATAAATAAATAAAGCTATGACATAATCTCTTAGTGCCTGTTAAATAAAAATGTAAATTTGAATTATACCATCTTTGGCAATTACGGAGCAATTATTTTAAAAAAAGAGTTCATTTAAATGTATCAAATTTTCTTTCTTCTTAAAAGTTTTATTTATTTATTTATTTATTATTATTTATTTTGAGAGTCACAGTTACAGAGAGAGGGGTAGAGACAGAGAGAGAGGATCTTCCATCTGCAGGCTTACTCCCCAGCTGGCCACAACAGCCAGGGCTGGGCCCGGCTGAAGCCAGGAGCCAACAATTTCTTCAGGTCTCCCATGTGGGTGGCAGGGGCTCAGACACCTGGACCATTCTCTGCTGCTTTTCCTAGGCCATTAGCATGGAGCTGGGTCAGAAGTGGAGCAGCCAGGACACCAACCAATGCCCTTATGCTGTGCCAGCACTGCAGGCAGCAGCTTTACCCGCGATGCCATGTATTGTTACAATACCTTCTGACTAGCATAGTGTTACAGTATTCATTTTACTGCATTCTGGACATGAATGACTTTCAAAGCTTGAAAACAAACGTCGGGACCTCTGTTATGGCATAGCAGGTAAATAGTTCAACAGTTCATGTGTTGGAAACTTAATCCCCAATACAACAGTATTAGCAGGTAGTACCTTTAAGAAGTGATTAGGTTATGAGTTATCTGCCACCACGAATAGACTTATAACATCACTACAGAGTTCTTGATAAAGGATGCATTCGGTACCTTCACTCCTGCCCGGTAGACACTTACCCTTCTACATTCTGCCACAGGATGACTTAGCAAGAAAGCCCTTATCACATATTAACCCTCTGATTTTAGATTTTGTGGCCTCTAAAACTACTGCCTAGGACTGGTACTGTGGCGTAGCGGGTAAAGATGTTGCCTGCAACCCCTATGAGTGTTGGTTTTAGTGCTGGCTGCTCCACTTCTGATCCAGCTCCCTGCTAGGGGCCTGAGAAAAGCAGTGGAAGATGGCCCAAGTGCTTGGGCCTCTGCATCCGTGTTGGAGACCCAGAAGAAGCTCCTGGCTCCTGGCTTCAGCCTGGCCCAGCCCCTGCCGTTGTAGCCGTTTGGGGAGTGAACCAGCAGATGGAAGATTTCTCTCTCTCTCTCTAACTCTTTCAACTAACTAGATAAAATCTTAAATAAAATTCAACAATCTACAAATTAGGAAAGAGGAATAAAATCTAAAAAATGCTTCTAGCAACACATGGGAAAACTGTTAAAAGTATTTATTTCTTTACTTGAAAGGCAGAGTTACAGAGACAGAGGAAGACACACACACACAGAGTGAGGTCTTCCACCTGAAAGCTCAGTCCCCAAACAGCCGCATCAGCTGGAGCTGGGCCCATCCAAGGCCAAGAGTCAGGAGCTTCTTCCTGTCTCCCACAGTGCAGGGGCCCAACCACTTGGGCATCTTTAGCTGCTTTCTCAGGCCATTAGCAGGGAGCTGCATTGGAAGTGGAGCAGCTGGGACAGGAACAAGTGCCCATATGGGATGCCAGCCCTGCAGGCAGTGGCTTCACTATCTGTGGAAAATGTTCATAATAAAAGAAACTTTTGTATTTAGAGGTGGGGAATGTGTGTTATTTCCAACCCTCTGAGCTCCTTTACTGAGAATCTTCTGTATTTATCGTGTCTATTTTAGACTTTTTAGGGAAAGAGGAGTAGACACAGGAAAAGTCTTCACCTTTTCTTTTCCTGGTATGTATGTGGTGGTGGTGGTGAGTGATGACTTGTAATAAGTTAGTGTGTTTTTGCCCAATTAGTTTTTTGCAATTCTAAGGATATATTTTTTTTTTTTTTTTTTTGACAGACAGAGTTCGACAGTGAGAGTGAGAGACAGGGAGAAAGGTCTTCCTTTTCCGTTGGTTCATCCCCCAAATGGCCGTCACAGCCGGTGCGCTGCAGCCGATCCGAAGCAAGAGCCAGGTGCTTCTCCTGGTTTCCCATGTGGGTGCAGGACCCAAGCACTTGGGCCATCCTCCACTGCCTTCCCGGGCTACAGCAGAGAGCAGGACTGGAAGAGGAGCAACCGGGACAGAATCCAGTGCCCCAACTGGGACTAGAACCGGGGTGCCGGCGCTGCAGGTGGAGGATTAGCCTAGTGAGCCGTGGTGCCGGCAGGATGTTTTTAAAATTAAAGATTTATTTTATTTCGTGGGAAGGCAGAATTCTTCACCTGCTTTCCCAGGCGCATTAGCAAGGAGCTGGAACGGAAGTGGAGCAGCTGGGACTGGAACTTAGGCTCATGTCCCAGGGGCTGCTGCACCAGCTGTGCCAGGACATGGCCCCGTCACTTACTTTCACAGACCACTAAAATCTCTTCAAGGAGAATTCCCACTGAGCAGCATTATGTCACAGAAAGCCTCCCAAGGATGCTGGGAGATTGTAGATAAGAAGTGTGGGACTGAAGCCCAGGGCTGTGTGTCTTGTCTAATTCCACTTGTCTCGCTCTCCCTGGAAATTTTCGACTGCACCCAGAGCTTTCTCCTTATGGACCTGGCTCTCTCTAACCACAGGACTGACTTGCGATCCCAAGAAAGAAAAAGCCCCACCTGCAAAGAGGAGGGTAGGCTGGAAGAATTCGTCCAGGGAAAAGAAAGGAGGCACAGCGGTGAATAACTGTCAGTTCCTCTTCTTCTCTCTGCTCCCTCCGCAACGCTTTAAAAAATTGCCATTTTTTTCTCAGGTCCAGGAAGGAAGCAGCTGGAATAAGGCGAAGTGGCTGGCCAGGGCTGCAGCAGGCGCCAGTTGCCGCCACCTTAGGAGTTGAGGAAGTGGCTGAGGCTGCACTCCAGTCGCCGCGGTAGCGCTCAAGGGGCAGGTGGCAACGCTGAGCGCGATGGGGCTCCCCCCTCCGCGGTCACCCACTGACAGCGAGCTCAGAGCCACAGAAGCTACTGGAGCAGAGCTGGCGAAGTGGAGGTGACCAGCCAGTGGGACCGGACAAAGGCGTGGACGCCCAGCAGTGGCGTGTCCTGGAGAGTTTGCTCGCCCACGACGTTGCCCGTGCCTGCTGCAGTGGGCACAAAAGACCGAATTGACCTACGGGGATTCCAGGGACAAGGAGCCTCCCGGAGAGGAGGAGCCCAGGCTTGTGCAGGTGAGGTCTGCGGGTTCCCGCAGCGCAGGGCCGGCGGCACCCCGGGCACAGGGGTGGCGGCGGCAAGGGTCACGACGGGCTGCTGGGGCTTCTTCCAGAACAGGGGTGGGGATGCTGAGTCACGGATCTGTCACTATTTAGCACCTCTCCTCGGCCCTCCAGGGGCCAAAGCAAAAGCGAAAGCGAATGCATCTGGCCGGGCGGCCGGTCCCGGAGTTGCACTCTCCACCTCGCTTGGGCCTGGGCATCGCACGCGCCGCTGGCCCTTGTCGTCCCGGAGGGGCACTGTCTAGCCTGCTGCCATGGCCCGGAGACGGCTCCGCTCCTTCTCGGCCCACGCCTTCCTTGCGCTGCTGCTCCCGCCAGCGGTGACACTGGGTAAGGAACAGTGCGCCAGGGCGGAGCCGCGGGAGGGGTCCCAAGCACAGAGCCGGACGGCACCAGGGGTCCCATGGCCCTGGGTCAGACCCGGAGGGAGTCCCGGGAGGAACTCGGTGAGCGCCGGCACACGGGGAAGGGACGCGGCGTCCAGCAGGAGGCTCAGGTGAGGCCAGGCGCGCCAAGGGGCCGCTAAGCGCGCCCCAGACTGCTCCCGGCTCTCGCGGCTCCTAGGTCATCCACCGAACGGAGCTGAGCGGTCAGGCTTGGGTTCCAAGGTCAAAGGAAGAAAATGGTTTTGTATGGCCAAGGGGGCGGCGTATGGGGAGGCGCTTGAGTGCGCGCCGGGCGCCCGTCCCACCTGGACAGCTGGGTGGGAGTTGCACGGCACGCGGTTCCCCGAAAGGGTCCAGGGAAAATAACTTCTGGAGTCTGTCAGGCACAGATACGTGATATGGGTGGGCAGCTGGAAGGACAGGTAGGACCCGGGAATAACTCCCAGTTCTTGAGTGAGCAAAGCAGGAAAGCGGGAGGCAGCGCGGGGATGGTGGTGACAGCCTGGAGGCTGCACTCCAAGAGAAGTGAGGACGAAAGGAAGCTGGTGATTGCTCCGAGTAATCAAAACCTCGGGCAGGTAGATCTAATCTCAGCAGGAACAATGAATGAGTGACTTGGAAAAAAAATTTTGGGCGGGGGGGGGGGGGGCGAGTGCAGCTAGTTGGAGGGGGACGAAAGATCGGTCTAACTGGATTCCTGGATCCTTGCCGGAGCTCCCTCAGGGTCTCATGAAAGCTATGAACTCTTTACCCAGAAAAGTACAGGAATGCATGCTAACTCAGAAAATGTGCATATGAGTTTGGCATCACAGACCCATTGAAGACCAACCATGACAGTTGGTAACTCCATGATTTGTGTGTATTTGTTTTAAGCAAGTTGCAAATACGGTTAGCCAGTCTGGCCAGAGCTGTCCCACCTCCCCACTTGCTGCTGCCTGGCTTGGTCTGATGTCTTAGCACTGGAGTGCGCGTAAAGTTTCATGTTTACAGGACTGTGAGCTCTTGGTGCCTTCCCCCATCCAAAGCTGAGTTTCCTTGGTGATCTGGTCATTTCCTCCCAGCTGGCCAGCCAGTGTCTCCCTTGCAAGTAACAGCCTGGGGCAGGGCAACTCTTAACACAATGTGAAAGTGAAATGCAACTGTGGTCAGAACCCAGCAAAACTTAAAGTAATCAAGAGACACTGCAGAAAGACCTCTGTAGATAATCAACCACATACAGCCTTTGCTCTTTGACCTTGCAAAAACCTTGCAGCTGTGTAAAGATCTGTTGTCACTGCAATCAAGGGAGCAAATGAATTCTTTATGACCAAAAGTTTCCTAAAGCTTTGCATAATCCCTGCCTCCCACCCCACCCTGTCCCCAGGCAAGGACTTACCTGTTTTCTGTCAATATTGATTTGTTGTGCTTTCTAGAATTTTAATACAGTGTGGATTCTCTGTTGTTTGGCTTCTCTCCCTTGTGGTAATCATTCTGAGAATTCATCAATAGTTGATTTCTAAGGCTGAGCAGTACTCTACTTTTTTAAAATAAAGATTGTATTTATTTGTTTGAGATGCAGAGTTACAGACAGAGAGAGGGAGAGACAGAGAGAGGTGTCTTCCATCTGCTGGTTCACTCCCCAAATGGCTGCAATGGCTGGAGCTGTGCCGATCCAAAGTCAGGAGCCAGGAGCTTCTTCTGGGTCTCTCACATGGGTGCAGGAGCCCAAGCACTTTGGCCATCCTCTGCTGCCTTCCCAAGCACATCAGCATGGAGCTGGATGGAAAGTGGAGATGCCAGGCCCTGAACTGGTGCCCATATGGGATATGGGACGCCGGCGCTGCAGGCTGGGGCTTCGACCCGTTGCGCCACAGTGCTGGCCCCGAGTAGTGTTCTGTTGCATGGCTATCCCACCATTTACCCCTATGCTTGTCAACAGACACTTGGGGCTATTGTGGGCAGTCACATGCATATAGGTTTTTATGTGTGCATCTGTTTTCCTTTCTCTTGGGTAGAAAACAGCTAGGAGAGAAGTTGCTGGGTCATATGGTTTGGTATGTGTTTCACCTTTTAAGTAACTGCTAAGCCATTTTCCAAAGTGGTTGTAGTATTTTACGTTTCCGCCAGTGGCGGTGGAGAGTTCCAGGTCCTCTATAGCCTCAGCAACACTTGGTGGTGAGTCTTTTTAATTTTCCTCGTTCCAATAGGGACATGGTGGTTCACTCCCCAAATGACTGCCAACAACCAGAAATCGTTCAGGCCCTACTGAGGAGCCAGGAGCTTCATCCAGGTCTCACATGTGGGTGCAAGGGCCCAAGTACTTGGGCTGTTTTCCACTGCTTTTCCAGGTGCTTTAGCAGGGAGTTGGATTGGAATTAGAGCGGCAGGGACTCAACCAGCGCCCTTGTGGGACGCTTATATGGCAGGCAGCGGCTTTCCCACTATGCCACAATGCTAGCCCCGCATTTGTTTTTAAGAGATTATCCATATGACTTGTTTTTACACCATTTGAACATCACTTGTCTATGTGTGTATGGGTTAGTTGCAGGATGCAAGGCATCAATACACGAAAACCAATTGTGTTTCTGTACATTTGCAATAAAAGGTTGGAAATTGAAACAGTAGTAGCATTGAAAAGCATTAAGTTCTCAAGGATAAATCTGCAGGCGATTTGGTCAAAAACTCCCAGAGAAGACTGTAATTTGTCCGTAGTGAATATCATGATCCTTTGTTTGGGTTTGGTTTTGTTGCATCGGGTATTAGCGCACTTGGGAATGTTTGCACAATCATTTTTTTTTTGAAACTGTTTTTCAGAACTCTGAGAGGCTTTGGTTTTTGTTTCAAATCCATCATATGTAGTTATTACCACTATTGTGTTGCTCTGATAGCAACAAAGTGGTAGAACTCTAAATGTACAAAATAGGAGATTTGTTGCAATAAACCTAAATGTTCAACATTGAAGACCGTATTAAAAAAAGGGAGTTGCTTTCACATAGTTTGCATTGTATGATTCAGTGTCTTTAAATTTTGTGTTTATTTGAAAGGGAGAGAGAGAAATCTTCTATCTGCTGATTCATTCCCCAAATGCCCACAACATCCAGGAATGGGCCAGGCCGAAGCTGGATGCCAAGAACTCAATCCAGTTGTCCCACTTAGTTGCAGCAACGCAGGTACTTGAGCTGTCACCTGCTGCCTCTAGGGTACACATTTGTCGGAAGGTACAATTGGGAGTAGAGCCAGGACTCAAGGCCAGGCACTGCAGTATCTGGTGTGGACATCCCAAGTGGTGTCATAACCACGACACCAGACACTCACCCCTGACCTGATTTTTATTAGAAGATCTAGAAGTATTTGTCACAGAATAGGAAGATTTTTTTTTTTTTTGACAGGCATAGTGGATAGTGAGAGAGAGACAGAGAGACAGAGAGACAGAGAGAAAGGTCTTCCTTTTTGCCATTGGTTCACCCTCCAATGGCCACCACAGCTGGAGCGCTGCGGCTGGCGCATCGCGCTGATCCGAAGCCAGGAGCCAGGTGCTTATCCTGGTCTCCCATGCGGTGCAGGGCCCAAGCACTTGGGCCATCCTCCACTGCACTCCTTGGCCACAGCAGAGAGCTGGACTGGAAGAGGGGCAACCGGGACAGAATCCAGCGCCCTGACCGAGACTAGAACCCGGGGTGCCGGCGCCGCAGGAGTGAGCCGCGGCACCAGCCAATAGGAAGATATTATGTATTGGTTCTGTGTGTGTATATATGAAGTTTTTGGCTTTTCTTAGTTTTCAGTCAAAATTTCAATTTTTTATAAAAGGAAAAGTAAGGAAGACTACAAAGAAATAACCATAAAGCTCTAGAATTTTAGAGACTTTTCTAATTACCTCTCTGGTAACATTTTCATAAGTTTATACATTTTGCAAATTGAACAAGACAGTGTTCTGTACGCCACTACATATAACATTTGTGCATATCCTATATACATTCTGTAATCATTATGATTCTTTATTGTTGGAACTGTGGCTAGATTTCAGTGATCTCACAAGTGTTGGATATTTAGAGTGTCTCAATAGGTTTGAAGTTCTGAGCAGCACAAAGTAGGAATAACTGGATGAAAATGAGCTACATATGGGCCGGCACTGCAGCTCACTAGGCTAATTCTCCACCTGCGGCACCGGCACACCGGGTTCTAGTCCCGGTCGGGGCGCCGGATCCTGTCCGGATCGCTCCTGTTCCAGGCCAGCTTTCTGCTGTGGTCCAGGAGTACAGTGGAGGATGGCCCCACTCCTTGGGCCCTGCACCCCATGGGAGACCAGGATAAGTACTTGGCTCCTGCCTTCGGATCAGCGCACCGGCCATAGCAGCCAGTAGGGGGTGAACCAACGGAAGGAAGACCTTTCTCTCTGTCTCTCTCTCTAACTGTCCACTCTGCCTGTCAAAAGAAAGAAAGAAAGAAAATGAGCTACATAGAGCAAAAAAAGTTGAGGAGAAACCCCTTTATGTCTAAAAACGTTTCTGGGGTTATTCATTTCCAATCAAATCATCATTTCAGCTAACTTGCTTTGGACCAAATAACTTCTTGGTAAGTTGATTTTATCAAACTGAATGAGTAAACATAAAATGCTCTCAGTTACTCACTACACATGGTTGATGTGATTTGAATGCTTGGAAATTTTGGGGAAGACTGACTTCTTGTTGCTGGGGGAGAGGGAACATCACTCTTTCTTTTATTTGCTTAGCAATCTATACTCACTCAACTCTTCCAGTGCTTTTCCAGTCATTGTTATTGGATGAGCTTTGATGAAATTCGCCTTCCACACAGGAGGCAGGTTGGAAAGCAGAGTTATGTGCCTGAGGAAGGAAGAACCGAGTTGATGAGTTTGGGCAGTGAGCCTGGTGCAGTTTGTACTTACAGCAAATGCCAAAAGTAAGAGTGCTTTCTTGGCTGGCATTGCAGCTGGAAAATAAGGAAGGAGAAAGGATTAATGGGAGTGCAGACGCCTTGGCCCTTTGGATGTCCGCTCCACACTGAGTTTCTCAGGGTAGGAACCACATCTCGCACTCCTTTGGATCCCACTGCACTTAGCACGTTGCCGGCGTCTGAATGGTAGACTACATGGAAGAAGGTGTTGGAAAGGACTCTGACTGCTTAAAAGAGTTGGAGAGGCATGCTAACCAGAAGACTTTTAAATTTTGGATGTGAGACTAGGCCAGGGCCCTTCGCTTGTATTAAATTCTCATAGACTGACCTGATAGACAAAAAAGATACACAGGTTCTGGGAAGGAGAGTGATTGTTAGGGCTTGCTGTATATGGTTTTATTTGTTTAATTTTTGTTGTTGCTGCCTAATTTCAAAAAGCCAAAAACTTTGACTCCAGTTTTTGTTACTGCATCCATTCCAACCTATGTATGCATAAGCCACTAATGTCAGAAATGTCACTACTGTCATACCTATTGTATGTGGATCTTACAGCTGTGAGAGTATCATAGAACTGCAAAATATATGCAGCACCTTCAAGAGGCATGGAATATTATAAACAAAGTGAGACTACTTACCTTGACTAACTGGGGAACAATGTTGTGAGAGTATTATACACAAACTGTAAATGAAGTATCAGGTGGCGGCGCGGAGCACCCTGGGATAGGGAGCGATCTCTGAGCGAGGCAGCAAGATGGACGCGGGATTCTTCCGCGGAACAAGTGCGGAACAGGATAATCGGTTCAGGAAGAAACAGAAGAAACTACCGAAGCAGGTGAAGTTTGCAGAATGCCTAGAAAAAAAGGTGGACATGAGCAAAGTAAATTTGGAAGTTATAAAGCCTTGGATAACAAAACGAGTAACGGAAATCCTTGGGTTTGAAGATGATGTTGTGATTGAGTTTATATTCAACCAGCTGGAAGTGAAGAATCCAGACTCTAAAATGATGCAAATCAACCCGACTGGGTTTTTGAATGGAAAAAATGCTAGAGAATTTATGGGAGAACTGTGGCCTCTGCTGTTAAGTGCACAAGAAAACATCGCTGGAATCCCCTCTGCTTTCCTGGAACTGAAGAAAGAAGAAATAAAACAAGGACAGATTGAGCAAGAAAAATTGGCATCTATGAAAAAGCAAGATGAAGTCAAAGATAAGAGGGATAAGGAAGACAAAGAAAGCAGCAGAGAAAAAAGTGAACGGTCTCGAAGCCCGAGAAGAACCAAGAGCCGGAGTCCTTCCCCCGCGCCAGAAACGAAGGAAAGAACTCCCGAGCTCCCGGATCCCTCAGTGCAGGAGGCAACTTCGACTAGTGACATCCTAAAAGTTCCCAAGCCTGAACCTGTACCAGAACCTAAAGAACCTTCTCCAGAAAAAAATTCCAAAAAGGAAAAGGAGAAGACCAGAGCACGATCTCGGTCACGTTGCAAATCAAGGTCACGGACGCGGTCTCGCTCTCCTTCTCTCACTCGACCTAGACGGCGCCATGGATCCCGATCAAGATCACACTCGCCTAGAAGACGGCCAAGCCCAAGCAGGCGCCCATCCCCTCGGAGAAGAACTCCTCCAAGACGAATGCCTCCTCCGCCACGGCACAGGAGGAGCAGATCTCCAGTACGACGAAGACGACGTTCGTCAGCATCCTTGTCTGGAAGTAGCTCATCATCCTCTTCATCTCCTTCCCGGTCGCCGCCAAAGAAACCTCTTAAGAGGACATCCAGTCCCCCTCGAAAAACTCGCAGGCTATCTCCTTCCGCGAGTCCTCCAAGGCGAAGGCACCGGCCATCCCCTCCAGCAACTCCACCGCCAAAAACTCGCCATTCCCCGACACCCCAGCAGTCAAACCGTACGAGAAAAAGCCGTGTTTCTGTGTCTCCAGGGAGAACTGCAGGTAAAGTGGCAAAGCATAAAGGCACTGAGAAAAGAGAATCCCCTTCACCAGCACCGGAACCTAGAAAAGTAGAATTATCTGAATCAGAAGAAGACAAAGGTGGCAAAATGGCTGCAGCAGATTCTGTGCAGCAGAGACGCCAGTATAGACGACAGAACCAGCAGTCTTCATCTGACTCTGGCTCCTCTTCCTCCTCAGAAGATGAGCGACCCAAAAGGTCCCACGTGAAGAATGGTGAGGTAGGCAGGTGGCGGAGACATTTCCCTTCCAGGAGTGCCTCTCCCTCGCCACCAAAGCGCCCAGAGACTTCCCCTCGTGGTAGACGGAGGAGAAGTCCCTCACCACCACCCACCAGAAGGGGGCGCTCTCCTTCTCCCGCGCAGGTCTCCTACACCACCGCCCCGACGAAGGACTCCTTCTCCACCGCCACGCCGGCGCTCGCCTTCCCCTCGGAGGTACTCCCCTCCCATACAGAGGAGATACACCCCTTCTCCACCTCCCTAGAGAAGGACGGCTTCTCCTCCACCCCCTCCAAAACGGAGGGCGTCGCCATCTCCACCACCAAAGCGGCGAGTCTCGCATTCTCCACCTCCCAAACCGAGAAGCTCGCCAGTCACCAAGAGACGCTCGCCTTCGTTGTCATCCAAGCATAGGAAAGGCTCTTCCCCAAGCCGCTCCACCCGGGAAGCCCGCTCGCCACAGCCAAACAAAGGGCACTCGCCTTCCCCTCGGCCTCGAGTTCCTCAGACCTCCTCCAGCCCTCCACTCGCGCGGAGAGCACCGTCGTCCTCACCCCAAAGAAGGCGGTCTCCATCTCCAAGTACTAGGCCCATTAGGAGAGTCTCCCGGACTCCGGAGCCTAAAAAGACTGCCTCTCCAAGCCCACAGTCTGTAAGGAGGGTCTCATCCTCCCGATCTGTGTCTGGATCTCCTGAGCCAGCAGCTAAAAAACCTCCAGCACCTCCGTCCCCTGTCCAGTCTCAGACGCCCTCTACAAACTGGTCACCAGCGGTACCGGTCTAAAAGGCTAAGAGCCCAACACCAAGCCCGTCACCGGCAAGGAATTCAGATCAAGAAGGAGGTGGAAAGAAAAAGAAGAAAAGGAAGGACAAGAAACACATAAAGGATAAGAAGCACAAGAAGGAGAAGGCGGTGGCAGCGGCGGCTGTCGCGGCTGCTGCTGCCGTCACCCTGCAGCTGTCGCTGCTGCCACGACCACCTCAGCACAGGAGGAAGCAGAGGCAGCGCTGGAGCCCAGGAAGGAGACTGAAAGTGAAGCTGAAGATAACCTTGATGACCTAGAGAAGCACCTGCGGGAGAAGGCCCTGCGGTCCATGCGGAAGGCTCAGGTGTCCCCACAGCCCTAGGTGGAAACGTTTCTTAGGATGTCCATTTTAGTTTGTACGCAATTCAATTTCGAAATTGCTAACTTGTTTTTGAGCTTTAGACTATAACATTTGTTGTAATAATTGCTAGGTTGAAGTTCACCATGTAAAAAAAAAAGGACATGGATTTACATTGCAAAAGGTGTGCACAGTGTATTAGTGACATTCTTTCATTGACAGCTGACATACATTCATTTAGAGTGAAATATTTTAAGCCAAAAAAATCTCCTTTTTAAAAAAGGGGGTTTAAATATTGTTGGCATTCTTATGGTTCGTTTAAATGCCCCTGGCTATTTCCAAAGGGGTTCCTCTCACTCTCTTTTTTTCTTTCTTTTTTTATTTACCTTTTCTCATTTGAGTCTCTTACCACCCATGTAAGTTATGCTTCCAACCTCATGGTTTGTAAGCTCGCCCAGAAATAAGACCACTGTTGAACTACACATAAGTATAAGTGAGTATTTTAATGCCACAATCTTTCCTGTTGCCTGTGGAGTCTCTGCTGAAGTGAATCAGGGTTGGAGCTCTCAGAAGAGACAGCAAAGCCACGTCATTGCCAGGACACTGTGGGTCTCTGTCCATGTGGAACAAGTTGATTTGGAACACTGGAATTTCATTCTATTCTGTTCTGGCGTGTTCTTTTTTTGTTTGTTTGTTTTCTTTCTTGTAAAGGCAATTAACTAGTCCCAGGAAGGATCCTTCAGTTATATAAAATTTTGTTTTATGAAATGTCATGGCTCCATCATATTTTTGTCTTGTTCTTCCAATTGGTATATACAGCTTTCAGGCTCTTGTATTTGGAAGGCTGGAAGGGCCCGGACTTTGAAATAGTGTCTTGGTTTCACTTTTTTTGTTGTTGTTTATTTGTTGATTTTTTTTTTTTTTTGACAGGCAGAGTGGACAGTGAGAGAGAGAGACAGAGAGAAAGGTCTTCCTTTTGCCCTTGGTTCACCCTCCAATGGCCGCCGCGGCCGGCGCAATGTGGCTGGCGCATCACGCTGATCCGATGGCAAGAGCCAGGTGCTTATCCTGGTCTCCCATGGGGTGCAGGCCCAAGGACTTGGGCCATCCTCCACTGCACTCCCGGGCCATAGCAGAGAGCTGGCCTGGAAGAGGGGCAACTGGGACAGAATCCAGCGCCCCGACCGGGACTAGAACCAGGTGTGCTGGCGCCGCAAGGTGGAGGATTAGGTTATTGAGCCATGGCGCCGGCCTGTTTCTTGATTTTTTTTAAACTAAAGCTATATAAAGCTTGTGGATTAAACAGAATAAATTTCTAAATTTGAAATTAAAAAAATGAAGTATGAAAAGATGGGATTAAGGCTTCAAAAAACAGAGGGGATTTCTAGTGATTAAATGTATTGTCTGCAGTGTAGCTATGAGACAATCTAACTCTGGGAAGGTAACCTGACATGGCCACAGGGGCCGGCTTTGTGGTGTAGCTGAGAAAGCTGCCCCTGGCCATGCCGCACCCCACGTGGGTGCCAGTTTGTATCCCAGATGCTCCACTTCCCATCAGCTCCCTGCTAATGGCCTGGGAAAAGCAGTGGATGGTGGCTCCAGTGCTTGGGCCCCTCATCCACGTGGGAGTCTTGCATGGAGCTCCTGGCTCCCGACTTCGGCCTGGCTCAACTCCGGCCATTGTGCCATCTAGAGAGAGTACCAGCCGATGGACGATCGATCTCTCTCCCTCTCTGTAACTCTGACTTTCAAAATAAATAAATATTTAGGGGCTGGCACTGTGGGTCACTTGGTTAATCCTCCACCTGCAGTGCCGGCATCCCATGTGGGTGCCGGATTCTAGTCCTGGTTGCTCCTCTTCTAGTCCAGCTCTCTGCTGTGGCCCAGGAGGGCAGTGGAGAATGGCCCGGGTGCTTGGGCCCCTGCACCCATGTGGGAGACCAGGCGGAAGTATCTGGCTCTTGGCTTTGGGTCGGCGCAGTGCTGGCTGTGGCGGCCATCTGGGGAACGAACCAACAGAGGGAAGACCTTTCTGTCTCTCTCTCTCACTGTCAATAAATCTCCTGCCAAATAAATAAATAAATTAAGCCTTAAAATAAAAGAATTGAAAACCCAAACACTGGTAGTCCCCAGGTCAGATATCAGTTGGCATCATCTTTCCACAATAAAACCCAGTAAGCACACTCCCTGCCTTACCATGACTTCATGGAATGATTCAGAACAAATCCCTCCAGCTCTGCAGGGCTGTCTGGCTGTCTGAGATGTCCATGCTGGGAAAAGACACCAGTGTGAGGCCTCTGCACTACTTAAGCCCCAAGTTGTGGGGAGAAGCTTAGGTAGTCACCAGTGAAGCTTTTTGTGATATTGTTGGTACTGGGGAACCTAAGGAGGACGCACCCACTAACAGACTCATTGAATTTATCTTGTGGAATCTGCCAGGACCATGGACACCTTCTCTGAAACAGTAACTCCACTCTCTGATGACTCATTATATTTATAGGTTGAGCTGTGAGTGGCCTTCTGGGCTCTAGGTCTTCCTACGTGATGTAAGGGCTCCTCTTCCAGAAACACCCATGCAACTTTCCCAGCCAAACACACTCCTCTGCCACTGCTTGTCCTGCAAAGGGCGGAACCACTCCTCACACAGATGCTCGGATGCTCACATTGCTCCTTTCCTCCACCGTGACCTTCATGCTGAAGGAAATTAATTCTGGAGTGACCAGCCCATGAGGAAGGCACACCCTGGACCCACGGGCCTCAGTGGCCCTCAGATGGAGTGTAAGTGGGTGCAGAGAGAACCTTGTAGCTCAGAAGGCCTGAGTGGAGGAGAGGGGACGGTACTGGTTTGTAACCCAGGCCCACTCGTGAGGACTTGGCTCTTGGCCTCCTGGCAGTTTTGCAAAAGCTCCTTGTGATGTGATTCTCACGACCTCCTCCAGGGCCCTGCACGTTTTTAGCATCTCCCTAGATTCCTCTTCCTGTCAGGAGTGTTTGGATCTCTTTTCCTTCAGTTCTTGCATCAGAGAAGCTAATTCCTCCACCAGCCTCGTGCTGCCCTCCTCACTTCTCTGTAAATATTTGCAAGGCTGGGAGTACATGAAGACCCTGTATCTACCCTGGTGTTCCCTAAGGTTGACAGAATGGCTGCATGTTTCATTTTAGCAGCACTGACCTTGTTGATAAGTTGCCATTCCTCCTTAGTGAAGCCAAGGTTTTTTCCTGTTATTTTTCTCAACATAAAGCCAACTTCTTCTTTTTTTTTTTTTTACTATTATTTTTGACAGGCAGAGTGGACAGTGAGAGAGAGAGACAGAGAGAAAGGTCTTCCTTTGCCGTCGGTTCACCCTCCAGTGGCCGCCGCGGCCGGCGCACTGTGCTGAAGCCAACTTCTAACAGACATAACAAGGCTGAGCAAAAATAAGACACCCACGAATAAACCAAAGACAAGCACTTCAGGGTCTTCCCCCGGAAGCTGTAGAAAATGAACTGTAGACTCAGGTTATTGGACAGTAGCTGCACAATCAGCTCCTTCAGCTTCTCAAAGTTCAGCCCATCACAGCCCCACCATGGGGCTCTCTGCTCAGTAACTGTGGATCCAGTAGCCACAACAAAGCCTGGGGACGTTCCAACATTTGTACAGAACCCAGCTGGCACCTGGCATTGTGCATTGGTCAGCTGTGTGGTTGGTAGTAGACTTGAGAAATTGAAGACGTTTGCCTCCATTGTTACATAATGATCTTCCTTATTTGCCTCCTTTCTTATGCTATTTTATCAAGATAAAATTTAAATATACTGAAATGTGCCCATGATGTTTATGATCTTAACACATTTCAAAGTTTTATACCTCTCTAGATCACCCAACACCCTCTCAATGTGAATTATATCTATTAATTCTATCTGCTACCCCTGTAAGTTCATCAGTAGCCTCTCACCCGCACAGTATGCTGCTCTGTTTTGATTTCTAGTAACATATATAATTTTCACCAGTTCCTGAACCTCAGAGAGTGGAACAGATTATAGTGTGTTCTTTGGTGTTTGACTTTTGTACAAAATAGTGCTTTTGATATATGTTCATGTTTTTTCTTTTCATAAGCTATTCACTCTGCTTATGTCTGAGCAATGTGACATTGTATGAATGTATCACAAACCATTGAAGAACATTTGTATTGGTTCCCATGTAGGCAGGTAAGAATAGTAGGTAATCAGCAACAGTTAGAAAGGGGGAACCGGTTCTGGTGTTCATCAGCACCGTAGGGTAACCAAAGCCTACAATAATGTATGACATATTTCAAACTAACTAGAAGAGTCCAGAAGCTTCCAGCACTAAAAATGACAAAACGGGAGGTAGAGATGCTGATTATTCTGATTTGATCATCGTACATTGAGCTGTAGTGCTGTACTTCATACACACGCATAAATATGTGTCAAACAATTACTTAAGGGCAGGTGTTTGGCACAGTCGTCAAGTTGCCACTTGGGACACACGCGTCCCCTATCGAGGTGCCTGGTTCAGTACTAGCTCCCCTGCTTCTGATCCAGTTTCCTGTTAATGCATACCATGGGAGACAGCAGATGACGGTTCAAGTACTTGGAAGCCTGTCACCTATGGGGAAGACCTGGATTGAGTGCTGGGCTCCTGGCTTCAGCCTGGCCCAGCCCTATGTGTTGTGGACATTTGGAGAGTGAACTAGTAGTTGGAAGATATCTCTCTGTTGGTTTGTCTGCCTTTCAAATACAATTAGAATAAATAAATAAAAATTTAAACTATTTAAAGAGAATAAAGGGGCTGGAGGTGTTGTGTCACAACAAATTAAACTGCTGCCTGTGACACTGGCAACTCATGTGACCTCCATTTTGAGTCCTAGTTGTTCCATGTCTGATCCAGTTCCCTGCTGATTTCACCTGGGAAAGCAGTGGTAGATGGTCCAAGTACTTGGGTCCCTGCCACCCACATAAGAGACCCAGATGGAGTTCCAGGCTCCTTGTTTGGGCCTGGCCTAGCCCTGGCCATGGAACCATTTGAGGCATGAACCAACAGATGCAAGATCACTGTCTTTCCCTCTTTCTGTAACTGTGCCTTTCAAATAAATAAAAATACATATTAAAGAAACAATAAAGATATTGTGGATATCCAAAAAAATACTAGGAGTAAGCAACAGTAATTTGAAATAAAACTATCATTTGTATTAGCATAAACAGCTGAAATAGTTAGAGACACTTTTGACAAAAGATCTCCAATGCTGATATGCTGAAAATTATAAACATTTCTGAGAGAAATTGCAAATTTACATAAATCAAGAGAGAGACTGTGCCTTTGGGTATTGAGAAGATTCAATATTAGTAAGATGTTGGTTTTCCCCTAAACTTTTTTTTTTAAACTTTTATTTAATGAATATAGATTTCCAAAGTACAGCTTATGGACTACATTGGCTCCCCCCCGCCCGCCGCGATGACTTCCCTCCCACCCGCAACCTTCCCCTTTCCCGCTCTCTCTCCCCTTCCATTCATATCAAGATTCATTTTCAATTTTCTATATATACAGAAGATCAGTTTAGTATACATTAAGTAAAGATTTCAACAGTTTGCACCCACATAGAAACACAAAGTGAAATATACTGTTTGAGTACTCGTTATAGCATTAAATCTCAATGTACAGCACATTAAGGACAGAGATCCTACATGAGGAGTAAGTGCACAGTGACTCCTGTTGTTGACTTTACAAATTGACACTCCTGTTTATGGCATCAGTAATCTCCCTATGCTCCAGTCATGAGTTGCCAAGGCTATGGAAGCCTTTTGAGTTCTCCGATTCTTATCTTATTTAGACGAGGTCATAGTCAAAGTGGAAGTTCTCTCCTCCCTTCAGAGAAAGGTACCTCCTTCTTTGAAGACCTGTTCTTTCCACTGGGATCTCACTCACAGAGATCTTTCATTTAGTTGTTG